AAAGTAAAGTGTTTAGTAGATTCAGGTTCAAGTTGCACATTTATAAATTCAAATATATGTAACAAGCTAAAATTAAAAGTTAACTCATATAATGGGCCAGAATATTGTGGTGTTAATGACAGTAAGCTTGAAATAATTGGTAGCGTAAAATTAACACTAGGTTTGCCTAGAGATTATAAAAGTAAAGTGAGCCTGAATGTTTTAGTTGCTAAAAATATTAACTACAACATAATTTTGGGTAATGATTTTAATTTTAAGTCTGGTGCCATAATTAATTATGAGAATTGTCTAGTAGAATTTATAAACCAAAATATTTGTACCAACATTAATTTATAAAGAAAAATAACACTACCGCTATAGAATCTGACGATGTCCTCGATCAACTCGATTTAAATAATTTATTTGAAAATGATATAGAGACTAGTAACATAAATAAAAATAACACTTTTAAACATGTCCTAGAAATAGAAATTTATAGAAATTTTGATTATATACAAAATATTAAATCTGAATGTACAATTAATAATACAGTATAACCGGTTAATTTAGCTACTAACTTAAATGATAAAGATAATTTACAGGTTGTTTTATATAAACAAAATAATATTAAGGAAATATTTTGTAGTGAAACATGCAGTTTAAATAAAATGGTTATGTCACAAAAAGCAATCTTAATAATTAATACAACAAAATATCTAGATAAATTTAATATAAAGCCATACAAAAATGTATCAAGTAAACTTAAATTATTAAAACAGCATGAATTACCTTTCCAAATAATAATTTTAAAGTATCTAATTTTATATTTAGGCTTACTATTTTTGTCAATGAGCATGATAAAATTTTATATTGATGATACAACATAAGATCATAACACTAATCTTATAGTTAAAAATCATTATTTTGATAACCTAAAATCTGTATTTTATTACAAAATTATTTTATTTTAAAAATAATTAAATTATATCTCAAGTATAAAGAATTAATTTTATATAATGCATTAGTAAAATTAATAAGGCTAGAATAAATATTTTAAATTATTTTTAATTGATATTTTATTTTAACATGTTAAATATTTTATTTAAGATTTACTAAAACGTTAAAATGACTCATAAAACCAACATAATTAGAGTATATGCATTAGTTTACTATTTGTGCTAGTATTAAAAAGTTATTAAAATATTGTGAAATGTTTTGAATATTTGGAATAGAAAATTATGGATTAAATTAATTATACAAATGATAAAATAATTTATATAATCAGTATTTAAACTGAAGAGAATTAATTAATTAGTAAATTTTGAAAAAATGTGAATTTTATATATTTAAGTGTATTTGTAGTTTAATTAAGTAAAAAAGTTATGAAATAAAAAAATATGATAGATTAATTACACGAAATAAAATATAAAAGGTTTTGAAGAATATATATTAGTAATTGTTTAAGATAATTAGATTGAAATGTAATAAAATAGTAATACACTTTATATTCTACAACTTCATCCCTCTGATATGGAAATCCCTCTAATAGTGAAACCAATTCATAAGACCCGATTCATTCTCATAGAAACCCATTATAAAAAACCTCCACAACTCGAACCTCTATATTCCGATACGGAATTATATTTTTTGGTCCCAAACACTACTTACAGCACCTCTAAAACTCGAATTTATTTGACAACAAATAAAAGAACCTTGCCTAATTGCTATGTTAATTTATCCTAAGCTAACTCATGGGATATTTTGATTGATTCTTATAGAACTTTCAACTATAAATATGAATATCTAATTTATACTGTTTTTTGGCCGTTGGTCGCAGTGACCACTTTTATCGGTAATCTTTTATATTATATTTATTGATGTGATATGTCGGTTAAGTAGATAATTTACACAGAATATGATGGTATAAATTCAAATCTAAGGATTAAAATAAATTAAAAAGAAATATAAGGATTTATGTCAATAATGCAAGCTAGTGTATAAAATCTTAAAAATTCACTTTAAAATCTTGAGTTTTCAAAAGTTTTATTGTATCAAAAGTTCTTATTTATTGTAAAATACTATATAATTTATAACTTATAGTGATATGTCAATTAAAATTTAATTATGATAAACTTATGCCTTTATATTCTGTGTAAAATTATCTATTACCGATAAAAATGTCCATATACTGTATATATAATATAGAAATTCATCAAGGTAACAGGTCACTTAGACCGAACTCGAGACCACAGAGCATAAATAATTAGTCATCTAGAACCTTCCTCTAGAGTTCTATAAGAAACAATCATAAACTCGAGACCACAGGGCATAAATAATTAGTCATCTAGAACCTTCCTCTAGAGTTCTATAAGAAACAATCATAATTTCCCAATTGCCAAATTAGGCTAATTTTTACAATGTTCTTTTATTTATGGAACTCAAACTCTGTAACTCGAATCCCTCTATGACTTCATCAAAACCTCCGGTCCCGACGACTTTACGTACTGGAGGTTCAAGTGTAGCAGTTGTTTTTAAAGTGATTTGCAATTCGTGTGAATAGTATTCATCAAATGTGGTGTAATTTGTTTCATGTATTTGCATTGATTTAATCTCATATATTTTATTACCGATCCTAGCTGCAATTTGTATCATGCCTTTTAAATACGACTTTTTTTGTTTGATATCATCAAACATAATATGACTACTTATAATATTGACTATATCCCCATTCAACATGTATAAATAGCCATCATTAAATAGCAGATATATAACACCACTATATGAGCATGTACAGATAGTCTTTACGTGAAATATACTTTCAATTAACCGAGGTCTACTAATAGTTTCATAATAATTATTTCCCCACACAAATATTTGTCCAAATGAAGTAATAGCAAACGATGTGCATTTATTGGTTACTACTTTACAAATTTTGTATCCATGGTCAAATACAATCTCCTTTGGATCTGGTATAAAATCCAAACTGTTAACCCCGCAATCTAACTGACCATACTCATTACAGCCCCACCCAAACACGCGTCCATTTGATGTCAACACAATTGTGTGATGAGATTCGCAACTTATATCACTTATTATTAAATTATTTAATACAAAGAATGGAATAGTTTTTGGTCTATGGTATGTAGTTCTCACTTTATCTGAATACATTATTTTCGTTTTAGTGTACCAGGTAATAAATATCTGTTGATCCTTACTGACAGCCAATACAAAGTCCTTTCCGTTGAGAAATTGTTGTATATTTTTGAGGTGTAGTTCATACACTTCAACAGGTGTTTCAATGGGTGTGTTGTGTCCTAACCCGAGCTGACCCTCACTATTGGTTCCCAATCCGTACACAAAATCACTTAATGTCACAAACAGTATGTTATGTCCCTTAGAGTCGTCGAAAATGTAAAATAATTTAATATTTTGTTTTAAATCTTCGGATATTTTGTCGCAAATTTTATAATTATTCAATTCTGAAGACATCGTATATCACTATTATGTTATAGACTATAACTTATAGTTGACTTTAAATGTAGTACAATGTTATATTTGATATTAATAATTTTACGAGTTGCCTTGAAACGAGTAAATTAATGTACATAGCGCGTTTAATGTTGTATTAAAATATTATAAAAAATTAAGAATTTAAAATTATTATATTCACCGCTTGTTTACGACAAGTATTTTAGTTAATTTTTGAACCAATTTTACGCAGTATAATTTTTAACGCTGTCATTTAATAAACTTTTAATAACTACGCAATTGTGTATTAAATAAAATTATTATTACATTTTATTATATTTTTATTATATTATATTTTATTATATAATTATTATATTTTTCGCCATTACCTACAGTGTAACATAGTTTATTATTACATGTTCATTACATAATATGACTTATATCGCAAACATATTTATAAATACGTGATGCATATCACACAAACGCCATAGTAAGTGACATTGAAATTGTAAAATTATGACAAATGACAAAAAAATAAATATTTTACTGATAACGGGTTGCACATGTTAAAATCATTGGTTTTATTTTACAAAATCTAATTATATGAGTAATTATTTAAAAATTTATATTTTTGGACATACAGTAAATGTTTATATTCTTACTACAAAAATGTTATAACTTTTTATACTGTAGTTTACTGTACTGTAAATTATGCCATCATAATAAATAAATGTTTAAAATTATTTTTCTATTTTGTGCTAGCATATTTCAATATGATTTACGCTATTTGAAATAAAAATGTAAAAATTCCTTGATACTTTTTGGCACAAAAAACTGTATTTAAAAAGTTTTATCAAAATACTAAACACACAAATGCCGTTAGAAATAGTGTATCCATAGCAACCCCTTATAAAGTTAACACAGTTTACTCACGATAATAAACCTGCTAATTATATTTAAACAACTAATTTACAAATATAATTTACTAAACATTTACATAATCTTAATAACATCATTAATATATTATATACTAACTAATAAACATATTAATTATCAAGTAATTAATAAATTATTAAATAACTAATACTGTATATAATAGCGAAAGTAGTCTGTAGTGCACATAAAGCACGTGACCGTTGGCTCATATGATTGACAGTAAAAACAAACAACAATTCAAAACACAATTCATTTTACAGTCTATTTGTGGTGTAAATCGCTTATCGTATCAATACGTGCGCCAAACGCCCACACGAAAGGCCAATCACCGCAAACACCCCCTAATCACACGTGTCGGGGGAGGGGTTTCCGGTGGAAAACCCCTGTTTTTCATGTGAAATAATGTTTATATGACTCATACGAGTGACTCATTCAAGTGATCACCACTTCTTGTGTCCAAAAAGTGGTCAAAACTTATGAGAAAAAAGTTTTCAAAACTTTTATTAAAAGACTTAATTATCATAACTATTATTATCAGCGGAACTACACATCGAAGGGAACGACACCTCAACACACATCTCATCCATTATCTCATATACACACCATAACCACAGCTGATGTCTACCATCGATAGCACCGACACCTCGACCACCGACGCCGCCATCGACGACCACATCATACGTATGGACAGCACTACTGGCGGTAAACCCGCGCCTAAAGTGTCTAAAAAGGGCCCAAAGTATCGGCGCTTAAGCGACGGATCAGCTAATGAGGGGACAGACACTCCTACATCACAACATATGGACAGCCCGTCCACCTCCCAGTGCTCGCCCAGTGGGTCGTCCACCACATCCATGGGTTACACAACACACCGACGGCCTGTCAGTAGCATTGAAGTCGATATGACGGACAGACACATGAAGTCATTCCCCGGTAATGACAGTCTGGATGGCAACGAGTGCACCCGTAGGCGACTATCATCCACTACTAGAGCACCGGTAGGCCCTGAAGCGAGTGTCCGATTCTGCGGTGACGTGCACTGCGTGGCCACACCCGCAGAGGTAGGCTCTCTGGACCTACTGTCCCAGAAGTACGAGTCCCTCGACTACGACCAGATCGAGAACCAGCTGTTCCTCGAGGAACGTAAGGGACAGACAGCCTATGGGAGGGTCAGGCGTACGGAGTGGTTGCGGTGGATCACCATATTCTTCATCGGTTTGCTAACGGCGCTCACCGCCTGTGTCATAGTAGCGGCGGTGGAAGTCCTATCGCACGTGAAGTACCAGTTGCTACAGGGAATGGTAGACAAGTGCTCCCGGAGTGACAAAAACTACTGCATATTAATACCGTACGGGCTATGGTTGGCCATGAATGCCGTTCCCGTGGCCGTAGGCTCGATGTTAGTGACGTTTATGGCGCCGATAGCCGCCGGCTCCGGGATTCCAGTGATTAAGTGCTATTTGAATGGCATTAAAGTGCCGGAAGTGGTGCGCATTAAGACATACGTGGCTAAGCTGGTGGGTGTGATACTGTCGGTGGTAGGGGGGCTGGCGTGTGGTAAGGAGGGCCCTATGATCCACTGCGGGTCAGTCATAGCCGCCGGTATATCCCAGGGTAAGAGTACGACGTTCCGCAAGGACTTCAAGATTATGCAAGAGTTTCGTGAGGACCGGGAGAAAAGGGATTTCGTGTCGGCAGGTATGGTATGATTGGTTATTAGTGTTGAGCTAACTGTCCATTTTGATGGGTGTGTGTGTGGTGAGGGAACAGTAGGCTTTGATGTTTAGTTTGTAGTTAGTGTTACTGTAGTTTTGATAGTGTTTTTCGTTTTAAGTTTTTTTTGATTTAATTATTGATTTGTTTTTTATGAAGAGTTAACTATTTGTGTGCCGATCCCCGACATACCTGGCCCTCTATGTGAACAAGTATATATGAAGGGAACTGTAGTTTTAAGTTTGTAATTTAGTTTGTGTTTGTTTTTAATGTTAGTTAAGTTTTACAGTATTAGTGTTTTCACCACCGGGGTAATTGTCGATTTAATTTGTTTGCATAAATAGTTAACCACTTATTCACTGACTTATACAATATTAGCGTATAGTATGTGGACATCCGTTATAGTGAACTACTATTTCATATCCTGTTATACATGTATATCCTTTCCTTTATAATACCAAACATACCTATACTAACAGCCTGTCCACTCAACCCCCACACACATTAGGTTATGCCGAACTCCTAACCCACCCATAAAACAGACAATCATTTCAAAATCACACCTAAACCCCCATAACTATCGCCACTAAAACACCCACTATTCTCACACTACAGGTGCCGCTGCCGGCGTAGCGGCCGCTTTCGGAGCACCGGTAGGGGGCGTACTATTCTCCCTGGAGGAGGGCGCCTCCTTCTGGAACCAGACGCTCACGTGGCGTATATTTTTCTGCTCGATGGTCAGCACCTTTACCCTTAACCTAATCCTATCGGCCTACCATAATCACCCTGGCCAGTTATCCTACGCGGGTCTACTCAACTTCGGCCAATTCACGGAACGGGACTTTAGCTACAACTTCGCCGAACTGCCCCTCTATATGGCTATGGGAGCCTTTGGGGGGCTTATGGGCGCCGCCTATAACTACATGAACTACAAGCTGACGGTGTTTCGCATCCGATACCTCCACCACCCGGTGCTCAAAGTCATAGAGGCCGTGGTGGTAGCCATGGCCACCGCGACGATAGGCTTTCTGATGATAGTCTACATTAACGACTGTCACGTGACGGTTAAGGAGAATACCGTGGAATACCCGATAAGGTACCGGTGCCAGGAGGGCGAGTACTCCGTGATGGGCGCCCTGTGGTTCAACACGCCGGAGGCTTCCCTGCGAAACCTGTTTCATAATATTGAGGGCACGTGGAGGCCGGCCTCCCTGGCCGTGTTTGTCGTCATATACTACCTGTTGTCGTGCTGGACGTACGGACTCAGTATTAGCTCCGGGCTGTTCATACCGGCGCTACTGGTGGGCGCCGCCTGGGGTCGACTCGTGGGCATAGGGCTGACCGCGATTTTTCCCGGACAGGAGTGGGTATGTGTGGGTGTTTAGGGGGTTGGGGAGGGGTTATGGAGTTTGTTATAGATACTGTTAACTAGTTTATAGTGTTTTTTTAAATTAATTTTATTATAAGTTATTAAAGTTTATATTTATAGATCCCTTTCCCTCACAAACTTGTTTATATAGAATGGGGTGTAGGAGGTATGGGAGGGGTTATGGAGTCTATTATGTGTATTTACTGTTAGCTATTACGGTATACAGTGTTTTTAAAATTGCATTTACTAAACTAATTAAATTAAACACATTATTAATTCATATATTTTAATACCCTTTCCGCTCAACCCATACCCCTATGTGTGAGCACAGGTATCCCCCGGAAAGTTCGCACTGATAGGCGCCGCCGCCAACTTGGGAGGCATAGTCCGGATGACCATCAGTCTGACTGTGATATTAATCGAGGCCACCGGGAACCTGACGTTTGGCCTGCCTATCATGATTACCCTGATCACCGCCAAGTGGGTCGGGGACCAGTTCACGGAGGGTATATACGACATACACATACAGCTGTCGAGCATACCGTTCCTCAATTGGGAGCCACCCTTTGGCGCGAGTAATATATACGCCTCGGAAGTCATGTCGAGTCCGGTCACCACCTTTAGGACCACCGAAAAGGTATGTTGTGTTGTGTTATGGGGTTATATGTGCGGGAAAACGGTACTAATTATTATGGGTTTGAGTTTTAATTTAGTTTTTAATTTAGTTTTAGTTCAATTTAATGATATATTGTGAGCACCGGTAGTATTAACTATAGTATGCCTACCATTCTTGGTGTTAAATGGACAGGTAGTGCGAAATAATGTGTGTGTGTTTTTAACCGTTAGTTAATTTTAATTAAATTATCGATTTTTTAATTAATGATTAAAACAATAAATATAAAATATAAACAAGGTTGATTACACTGAAAAATGAAATTTTAGCCCCCTTTTTAATTCTACCATTTTAGGCCCATTTGTCAGTACATAACTCCATTAGTCAAGCCTAGTCTATGCTATGACAAAAGGGCCCAAAATGGCAGCCATAATTTAAGTTTACAAACTGTAACCTACACACACTCACTCACACCCTCTCCCCTCCCCTCCCTCATAGGTGGGCGTAATCATCGACACACTGGAGTCCCAGTCGCACAACGGCTTTCCCGTCGTGGACACTAACACCGGCGGCTGCGGCAACGACTCGGGCCTCACGTTCAGCGCCGGTATGAACGACATGAACCAGTCGTATAGCATAGACTACGGACACGAGACCACATTCGGCCGCTTCCGGGGACTGGTATTGCGGTGGCAGTTGATAGTCATGTTGAAGGAGCGCCTATTCAATGAGTACGAACAGGACTGGCATTCCTATAACCTGCAGACCTTCCGGAACGCCTACCCTCGCTATGAGACTATAGAGGCGGTGGTGAAGGGTATTACGGATGAGGAACGGGATTATACGATAGATATCAGGCCTGTCATGAATCCTAGCGCCTACGCCGTGCAGCACACGGCTAGCCTGACCAGGATTTTTAGGCTGTTCCGGGCCATAGGGTTAAGACATTTACACCAGTGATTGCTAGCCTTACTTCACTATCCATATCAGTGGGCATTCCTGTAGCGCTCCATATCCTCGGTGACCTCCCGGCCCTTCATGTACACCGTGCTCAACGTCTAATCGGTATTAATTGTGCTGTTTTATGCGGTACTGAATGCCCTGATTATAAGTATTATCCTTTAATTAACAAAAATATATGAGACATATGCTAAATATTTTAATAAATAAAAAAAATTAATTACTTAAATTAATAATGATGGCAAGGGATGGGAAGGGATATTCGGTACGATAAGCCATATATGTGTACACATAATTGATCGGGTTTATTATAATCCATGTATAATTTATTATATAATTAATATGTTTTGTATATTTATAGATATATTTATGACCAGAGATATTTATGAAAAGTTATTTACCCTACCATTCCTATAGATAGCCTACTGTCCACCAAACATAACTATAGATAGCGCACAGATATTTATATTTTATACATGATTTAAACTACTGTATAGTAATATACCAGGCTGTGTTGTTATTTAAGGTATATTCAGTATTTTAGTTATAATACACCCGTATTAGTGATTAAATCACTTAAAATAGTCATAATTACTGTCAATTGTTAAAGTATTTACAATAATTATATAGTTTATATCGGATATTATTTACCGATATTAGTGTACACTATATGTATGAGTGATAGGTGTAGGGAGGGGTGAGTGATATGTATGTCTATTATAATTGTAATCTTATGCTAAGAAATTCTCATTTATTATACGAAATATATTTTGAATTCATTTATTTAACCGACGAATTGGATGATAAAAATTTATTGTATTTATGAATAATGATTGTATTAATATTTTATAAATAAATACTTATTTTGTTTTATATTTTAATTAAATTTAAATATGAGAGAGAGAGAGAGAGAGCTATATTTTAAANCTATATTTTAAAAAGATTTAGTACAAGCTAGTTAAATATATTTATAAATCAAAAACTTTTACAAAGTATAATATTTTTTGTAAAAGTAAACTACAAAACACAAAATTTACTTTATTTTTAATAACTTAGAATAATATATTGTATCATTTACCTATTCAGTCACTAAAAGTTTTAAATAAAATTACATAAAAATCTATATCACAATACAAATACTGTACAAATATTACATAACTTTATGCTGATGATTGCAAAAAATATATATAAACAAGCAGTCTTTCTACTAAAAGTTTTAAATAAAATTGCATAAAAATCTATATCACAATACAAATACTGTGCAAATATTACATAACTTTATGCTGATGATTGCAAAAAATATATATAAACAAGCAAAGTCTCTCTCTCTCTCTGCAACAACTGTTGTGTAATCTCGTCGATGACACCAATATATCGGGTAATGTGTCAACACTTATGTAATAAAATCGCTTATCAATACATATTTGTCCGCATCATTGGCCAGGTATGTGATTTTAGGACTATGTTTTGAGTGGCGCTTAACCCATAAAAATATTTTTCAATTATCTTGCTGCTATTTGTCTATCTCGCATTGCACTCAATACGAGAGAGAGAGAGAGAGAGAGAGAGAGAGAGAGTAAATGTTATTTTTGGAAATGTCGACAATCATTCACAAAGTTAGACAATTAGGTCAACAGTGCTTTTCAGGCTACCAGTGCTCTACTATAGCTCTACTACTGTATATTATTATGTAACCATACTACGATTCTCTGTGTGTGTGTATAATACGATACTTTAAGTACAGGTGCTATATATAGCTCGCTCAGCAATTATCTATAACACGGTGTATACTATTATAATATTCTGTGCGTTTATATATAGAATATTCTGTTGAATCGGATAATAGTAATAATGATTGTCTATAAAAAAAATAAAAATACACACAAATGGCTTATAATGTATTAAGAATTAGGCGTATATTTTATTCACTAATGATCCAGGTATTATTATCGCGAAATTGACATAATAATTTACTTAGGCTTTCTTAGAAATGAGTAGGCTAATTTTGTATGTAGAATATGTTGAAATGCATACCAGTTTTGGTATTTATGTAGAATATTCTGGGAATTCATTTCAATACATAATGTAATTCTATACGAATGAATCAATTATCATATGAAATGCATGGACACAGACTGTCAATGTTTACGGAATATTCTATATTCAAATTCTTATGGCTAGAAATGTATGCATTTTTATTAGGTTTTATGCCGTCCATCAAAGTGTCAATGCATGTAATATAATCACAAAATTATTTTTATTCATAATCAACAAGATCGTGTGATATATTTATCAATAGTATTGATATTTACGAAAATATTTACTAGTATACATATCTAGGTTATAGTATATTAAGTCTGTTTAAAAATATTTACTGTAGTCAATAAAATTGTTTTATTTTTAATTATAATGTATATTTACATATTGATTGACAGTATAAATAAATAACATTAATATTTATATAAATCTCCTAATTTTCTAAAGTGTTTTACAATAAACTAAAAATAAACTTGCAAACTTATTGCATTTCCTAGTCTATATCGATTCATTCACCACTCAATTCATTCACTTAAGTAAATAAAATTCTTGTCTTATTCTAGTATATCGTATAAAAAGCAAAAAATAGTGTATTTTTATATAATAAATATTTTCTAATATAAAAAATATCTCTCATATGCTATTACGACAAATAATCTAAAAGTGCATTTTTCAACACAAATACGATATATAAAAGTATTTTTACTTATATTTTAGTATTTTTTTTGCTTATCTTTCGTAATATTTTTCTTTTAATCTCTCTCTCTCTCTCTCTCTCTCTCTCTGGCCATTCATCCCATCCATTAAACTGCCAGTCCTTTCATAGTATATCTCATATCGGAGTTCATATACACTATAAGGAAGTGTTTTCTTAAGTGAACGGAAGGGTAAAGAAATTTTTGGACAAAATTGAGTGAATTTTTTAAAAGTGTCTGCAAAATGAAAATTATTTTCAAAAAATACTTTCATAAAAATATTTTATATTACATTCCCATAAGTTAAATATAATCTTTGAATTTAAATACTTTACATTGCTAAATAATATTATCATGCTATTTGCTATAAACTTTTAAAGCATGCATATAATTAACTTGTAAAAATAATTGCTTGTTTAATTAGTTAAGTTATAATATAAATTTAATAAATGTTTAATTTATACTAACTTTGCTAAACGATTTATTTATTTAATTTCTAACTCAACTATAAACCATAAAATATAAGTTTAAGTACTGATAGCTAAAGTATTTTCAATAAAATTCAATTTATTTCTACTTGCTTAATTGTGTACTACATTTTGCGGTGAATAGTGTACTAAAAATAGACTTAATGGCTATAACACCAACAAATAGCCACCAATTTCTTACATAACTTATTGCCACCACTTATTGCAGAGTTCAATGTAATCGCAATACAGAATCCACAGAATCTATAGCTCTCTCTCTCTCTCTCTCTCTCTCTCGCATACTATCGTACATACAGTACAGTAGGGGAACGGGAGTCTGGGAAATGTGTGGGTGTTTGTGACGCAATCGCATCTTTGCCTCAAAATGCGGAAGAATTTCTAGGCTTCAGATTCTGTGTGTTATAATACAATCGCACCCATAGCTCACCCGCACACATACCAGCCCTATCTCTATGTAGTATTTCACTCAAAGTTCAGTGACGTTCGCACAGTTAGCTCATAGAGAGTTCGCATAACATCCCTTTCCCTACCAGTGCGGGCACACAGACAGTGTTATTCTCGATTCTCTCAAAGTGTTTGCAACAGAATATTCTGTGACTCCGCGAGCGCTAGTCGTGGTGTCAGATGTCTGTCTACAGTACGCCAACAGAGGACTTGTATGTCAAGAGTTGTTATATAATCGTCGACCAGAATATTCTGTACATCAAAAGCACTGCCAGTCCTAACGGGCGACACGTATTGCGGAATATTCTGCACACGAATATTGTTTTGCGAAATATTTTTCGTGTGAATTTGATGTGAAAATCTTATGATCAAAAAAAGTTTGCAATTCTGCTATAATTTATAATAACTACAAGTTTTTTGCAAAAACTATTCACTCGACTCAAGAATCTTAAGAATATTCTCAATGAAAGACTTGTTATAATAATATATTCATTAGATTTGCAAAACATTTGCAAAAATACTGCAAAAAAACTTAAGAATATTCTGATTGCAAGAATCAACTGAATGTCAAAAACCATGCATTCATCGCAAGCAGTCCTCATCGCGCTGGTAGTCATACTGACCGCCATACCCGCGACAAACTCATCAGTAATTAGGGCTACCGGTGCCCAGAAGTGTGATTACCGAAAGTGGCCGAAGTCCGGGTGCGAACACGCGGCACAGGTATGCGACCCGAAGCTCAAGCAATGTTCGTGTAGGCCGGGCTACGTGACCAGCCCGGCCACCGGGGAATGCCTACGGGCGCGACACTGGAACGAGTCGTGCGTGTCGTCCCTCCAGTGTCGTACAGCGCATACAGCCTGCCTGGCCATCGACGGCACCTACCATTCCTGGCGCTGTCAGTGCGTGCAGCCGGCCTATTGGTACGACCAGTCGAGCTCCCGGTGCCGGGAACGGTACCACTACGGACAGGCGTGTGGCAGTGAGGGCCAGTGTCGCACCGGACTTGTATGCACTGGTGGTGATAGTAGTGTGGGGGCCGGCAGTAACGGAACGGTATGCAAGTGTCCGCCAGAATATTCTTACAATACCAGCGCTCATGAATGCCAGCACCGGGCGAATAAGGGCTGTCCCACTGGGCAGCACTGGAACAAACACAGCCACCGGTGCGAACCCCACCACTACAGCAATAGGGCCGGCAGTATGGAGGCTACCGGTGCCGCACCCACTGGTAAATCCAACGCCATTATCAAGAATAGCAAACTTATAAACAAGGGGTCGGCCTATTGGACGCAGACAACCGGCGCTGGCCAGGGCTCAACCACCACGACAGTGG